TATATTGTTGTTATATCTCGATTAATTGCTGGTATTGGAATGGGATTAGTGGTAAGAGAATTATTTTCAAGGTGTTGAAATTTGAGCAAAAAAAAAAAAGTTTTTTTTTTTAATCACAGTTGAATCGAGCTCCTCAAGTCACCGATAAAAATATTGTTTGTTGATATAATCGAACAATGTATTTTGTTATAAAGTTTAAGTTTAACAAAAAAAAATCTGTAAAGCCTATGAAAAAATTGAAACAACGCCATAAATAAGATTTTTATCATCACAAACTTTAGACGAATATTATATTCAAAATCGATATAAAAAATCTGCATTGAATAATATATTCAATACTGAAAATTAATTTTCATCAAATTTTAGTCCTTATACTCTCTTACTATTATTTTCGAATACTCACACTTGTGCTTCTTTCAACGTCGGAGTTTTGAGGAAAATTAATTTTAAATATTGAATATACTATTCGATGAAAATTTTTGTGCTGATTCTAAATATGATATTTAACTAAAATTTTGATGATCAGAATCTTAAAATACAAATTCGTATCTATGGTGTTGGAAAAAAATCGATTTTCTTAACAATGAAATAAATATTTTTTTTTGAAAAGAATGCATAAGTTTTTTCCTATATGACGAATTAAATTGGAAAAAATATTTGAATAAATATTGAGACTATTGAGTAGGTGTATTTCAACTTTTATAGAATTCTCCTGATTTTTTTGTTTTTTTAAAAACTTAAGTTTCAATACAAAAACATTGTCTGACTGTGTCAAAAATAATGCTATTATAGATAACTCGATGTGCTCTATTCAACCAGGATAAAAAACGTTTTTGCTCAGATTTCGAATCGTTGACATCTTACATATAAATATTACCTTTTTTATAATCTGTTTTTCAGCCACCATTATTAGCAGAAATATCAAGACGGTCAACACCAAAAACTCGTACACAACTTTTATCAAAAGTACTTGGTAATACAATCAAGAAAACAAGAAAAGAAAATTTATTAACTTTGTTTTATTTATAGGATGTCGTCAAATAGGTCTTTTAGTAGGTCCATGCTTTACAATATTATTAAAACAAATGAATTTTGTATTATTTGGTATTCGTGTAACCATGTATAATTCACCTGGTTTACTCATGGCAATCTTATGGTTAATACTCGCAATTTTGACTCTTTTTTTCTTTTTTGATTCACCATTGTCATCAGTAAGTTTATATTGAATAGCAAAAAAAAAACAAAAAGAAAAAATACTTAATTTTTCTTTTTCTTTTTTTTTTTGAGGTTGATCATAAAGTCTCATCAACTCCGTTAAATAATTATTCATTTAGTCAAGCATTGAAACGTGTTTATACAATATGCAAACAACCGGTGATAATAGTACGTGATAAATAATGTTTATCCAAAATGATTTTGTTTTTGTTTTCTATTGTAAAATCTAAATAATATTTTGATATCATTTTACTTAGATTTCTCACTGACTCTATATCAGTAAAAATACGATAATATTTTTAAAAAAGTATTTTATTTAACTTGTTGTGATGCTACAAGGCGGAGGGCAGTATTACTAAAGTGTTAGTCGCAATTTGTGGAAGGCGAGAGGAATGCAAATTTTTACTCCTACACTTTAACACTAAAGATCTGCATCGTAATCATTTTTACGATCAGTCGGAACTCTCTAAATTGCCTATCAGCAAAGTAGATTGAACACGAGAGATTCTTTTATATTCATTACACAAACTGATGTATTTTGAAGGTTCTAGTCATGTCTTCTCAGGACTTTACAAAAGTGAGGAAAAGTTGGGGTCAAGGTTGACTTCAATTTGTTTTTTATGAGCGTAGGTCTCAAAGGGACATCAATCGAATCTCAAAAATATACTAGTTTATACGGTGAATACCAAAGAATAAAACTTACAATTTAAAAAATTTCTTATGTTAAATCTGGTTTATTAATGAGACATTTAGTTGACTCTAGTGCAGGTCTCTATTTCACAAAAACAACAACAACAACAACATAATTCATTGATCAAATTTTAGGTTCTTCTAATAACATCATTTATTGCATATTTTAATCAAACAGCACTTGAAACAACATTAACACCATTTACAAATCGACAATTTAAGTGGCATGAATTAGAAGTATCAATTTTATTTGCAATAGCTGGTATTGAGATAACACTTGTTTATGTTTTATTACATTATATAACAAAAAAATTTCAAGATCAATCAATACTTTTATTTGGTTATATACTTCTTAGTTTCGCTTGTCTTATTGCTGTTATTATTTTACCTTTTTCACAACCAGGTACACAAAAATATTTACCTATATTTCTTCTATTTGTTGCATTGGATATTCTTGCATTACCACTTATTGTTGTTACAAGTACAAGTTTATTTACACAACAAATTAATAATGATGAACAAGGTATTGGTCAAGGTGTTCAACGTTTTGTTATAAATGTAGCAACAATTGTTGGACCATTATATGCTGGTGGTCTATTAAAATTTACATGGATTATGCTTTGTTCAATGTTATTTATCGTTTTATTTGCAACATTTCTTATTCTAGCTATTTATCGTTCATTTAAATCAAAACATGATGAAGAATTATCAGCTTTAATACGTCCAACAAATAATATTCGATAGAAAAACAAAAAAAACGAAAGACAAAAACAAAGCAAATTTTCTTTCATTTCTTTTTATTTTATATAAATATTTATATAGAAAAAGAAATAAATTAATTAAACTATGTCATTGTCAGTCGAACGTTTCTTTCTTTTCTTACTATTACTTAATGATAAATCTAAAATTTTCTCAATTTCAAATCGTTTTTGATCAATAGGATATATTGCATTTATCATTGTTGGAATATACGATAAATGATCATAGAAATAAAAATGAGAAAAATCGATTTGTATCAATAGAAATAAAATGCTTTGGTTTTTATTTGTTTTCTCGATTGAAATTTATTGAATTAAATTCAATATTTTTGTGCAACAAAGATCTTTTTCTTCATACTCACTGTTGTAAGTGATTTATTCGAATGATCTTTAATTGATGAATGATACCATACTGTGATAATCACAATGTTTACATGTATAAGATTTTATCTCGAATATCTGTACGAAAAAAACAAAAGAGAAAGATATTTACTTCTTCCCATTTATTACAATATCAATCAGTTTCTTTTAAATGAATAATTTGTATATGATAACATAAATATAAATAATTAGGAAAAGAATTTCTGACAATATTTACATCATGACATATTTTCTTTTTTAATATCCATCGATGATGATAAGATTTTTATCTTTTTACTTGTATACATTTCTCAATATGAATTTGGATATGAAGCACTATATAATAATCGTTCGAGAGTTCTTTGACTTTTTTGACAGATAAATCGAAAATTTTAAAAATTGAAGAGTCGTCCAATTTTTATTCAAACATTGTTACAAAGTTCCGTGTTCTTGTATGATCAATTTTTTTATCGTAACTTCGATATGAAGTTCAATTCGTTTTTAATGAATTTTTTTTTACATAGTAAATCTTGTGTTGATTCTATAATGCGACCATTTTTCTTTAATTTATCGAAAAAAGTATCCGCAATCGGGATATAGCCATATTGAATTCCCAGTGTCAAGCAGAGAGAGAATACTTTAATTTGCTTCTTTTCTATTGATAATAGACAATATCGGTTAAGATAAAAGAGAAAAAAAAATGAGTAAGCTGACCTATTTGACAGCATACATGTATGCTACCTGAAACGCGCTAAAAAAAATTATAGTTTTTTTTTTTTTTTATTATTATATTTAATCATTATTGAAATTTCTTATAAGCGAATCTATTAGAATGACATTATTGAGATGAATTTTTTGTCTTCTCTTTATTTAAAATTAGATCAAAGAAACTATCAAACATCGCATGGTTGAGCATCAATACATGAATCTGGAACAGTAAAAACACTTGGATCAGGTTTTTCAACTTTATAATTATCAAAAAATTGACTAGCAAAACCAGTAGTAGCTCGAAAAAAGAATTGTGATGGTGTACACATCATATTTTCCGGTGTTAATGATGATGATGATTTACATGTATCTTCAAAAAATGAATAACCAAATGGACCAGCTGGATCTTGCGGATCATCAAGAACCCACCAACGAACAGGTCGTGTATAAAATAGACCTGTGCCATTGTATTTAACTCCAGGTGCTTTTTGTAAGAAATCTGGTGCTGGTGGATTCCATGGATTTTGAAAAATACAACATGGTGGTCGACCAGTTGCTCGAGGATCAGTTACAACAAGATAAGCTATTTCATTCACATTTAAAAAGTTACATGTAAAATTATTGCTCGTTGCTTCAAATATTGGAATACATATATCATAATAATATTCAATCATAGCTGGAAGTGACCAATCATAATAAGTTCGACCACGACCTACAGTTGTATTTAACACTGGAATTGTACTATAAGGAGGCAATTGAATATCATCATAAACATGCGCCATTGTCCATTGATATGTAAAATAATTTGGCCATATTGGTGCTGTAGATTGACTATTGATAAAAGTCAAAGGAATAAATAATAAAATCAATGAAAGTTGCATTTCGATTTCTTTTTTGAAATGAAATAAATATGATCGTTGGCAACAAGGTCTTTTATATAAACCACTTTATCATACTTTTTTAACAATAAAAAAAAATCGTCAATACCAGAATGTGTTTTCGTTCCCATAATTATGACGACGTTTTTATTTTTATTTTTAAAGTTTGATGTGCTGATTTTCATCATGATGAGTATACGTTTTGTTCTAGATTGCTTAAAAATATTCATACTCAAAGAATTTATGTACATTGATCTAGATATACGTAAAACAATCTTAATTATTATTGTTATATTCTTTTAAAAAAGCTTTTAGAGTTTGAATTTAAATTTATTATCATTAATCTTTTATTTTTTTATCTAATAAATGAAATAGAATGTTTTTAATCTTTTTAATGATCTTCAATAATATTTAAGTCGTTAAAAGTAATATCAAATCCTTGTGTATCTTCACCAGGTGATGCACACATAATTCCAACCATTAATGGTTGCGATTTATCCATTAATGGAAAATATGCTAATCTCATCATTTTAAATTCACCATTTTCACCTTCAGCATATTCAATATGTACTGCTTCTTTTTCACGTTTAACACGTAATTTTAAAACATCAGGTGAATTTATTGGAACAACACTCCAATCAGACCATCCATTAACAGTGACAACAACACTAGCAAATTGATTTCCATCAACATATTCAACACCACATTTAATCCAATTTTTTTCATTAATACGTAACATTAAACCACCTTGATCATAAAGTGTAGTGTATTTTCCTCGTACATTGACAGTTGCTGTAAGAGATTGATCACCTGAAAATGAACGATAATAAAAATGTCCATTATCTCGTTCAAAATCATAATGTGTCTTGCGCCAAAAATCAGTTTTAGCATCTGTATGGACAAGAATTGTTGATCCATTGATTGACCATTTTTTAGGTTCGTTAAACCACGTAAAATTCATCTTAAAAAAATAAAGAGAACATAAAAATGAGTATCACAATTATATGAATATTTGCTTTCTAACTGATAAGGTTACATATTATATTTACTTTTGATATATACTTGAAAAAAAAATGACATAATAGATTCATTATATCTCTAAGTCATACTTCATTAGCTTTAATCATTGTTAGTAAATACTAAAAACAATAACGAATATATTTTTCATGACGGTACGTAATATAAAACCGACTTGATTACATCGAATATTCAATTTTCCTCGTACATTTACTGCAGCTGTAAAGGATTGATCTCCTGAAAGAACTTGATAATAAAAATGTCTATTCTCTTGTTCAATATTATTATATATCTTATGTCAAAAATCAATTTTAGTATGAGTATTTTACTTTGATTATTGATAAATTATTTGATCATTTTTTTAGGTTCATTTAATCAAGAACAATTTATCTGGAAATAGAAATATTTTCTTAGTTATTGTCTAATTTGAACTTAAATCTTCATTGGTCTTATATTAATATTTTCAAAAATTGATATTTCTTTCTAGTTTATACAATTTCGAATAAGATTCGTTTTATGTTCAAAAAGAAAATGATATTTATAATGAGAAAAGAAAAAGGCAAAACGACGAGATACATAGGAAATAGGTGACAAATATACGCATACACAATTATGTATATATATGCAAAATATATATTTTTCATTCATTCATGTGACGAATGATAATGTTCACTATTGTCGTCTGAATTCGATTGAAACATTGTAACGTTTGAAAAGATCATCTGACTTGTTGCTCGATTAAGTTTTTCAAGACGATCCTATTTAAATAAATAAATGATCTTATGGAAAAATGACCATCAATTTATACATACTCGAATTGTACTTATATCATTTTGAATACCTTCATGACCTGTATAAAATCTATTAATCCATTGATTAACACCATTTATATGAGAAAATAACATATCAACAAATGGTGGTAATGGAGATGTTGATGTTTCGAGATTTTCTTCAACTGTGGGGATTGTAGTAATTGGTGGTGATACTATTTCGTCTGATGTTTGAACATAAACATCACAACTCTTATTTAATGTTGGTGTGACAAATACAGTTGAATCAACATTCTATAGAAAGGAATATAAAAAAAAAAAGAAACTCTGTTATTATATTGAAATATCCCTTTGTCAAATGATTCTTCATCATGCTAAGTGATATAATTATATGGTCTATATGCTATTTAGACTTCAGATAGATGTATTTAGAGTTGTAAGTCGATCGGTTGAGCCAATGATGATAGCCGCAAAATTTTTAAGATAAACTAGCTGTCATCATTATCAAGAATAGTTGCTGAAGATGCTAGCTGTCGCCCTCGCGAATAAAAACATATTTTTGATTTTTGAAAAATCGCTACGTTCACTGCCATTTTTCGGAGATATTCTTGTCAATAAGTTTTTCACTATAGTTTTCTCGCTTTTTTATTTCGAAATTTCTCGAAATTAAAAAATTAATAAAGAAAAGGCCATCGAAAAATTTCAGCTGCCAGCAAAATCTGAGACATTTGTTGCTGCAGCTGACAAAGAAAAAAAGTTACAATAAATGCAATAGTCACCACCGATCAATACATCGGCTTATACTTCTACAAGTATTGAAATATTTGAAAGCTTTCATCCAAATAATTCGATTCTTTTCTTCCAAAATCTCATTGAATAAAAAAATTCGCAATTTAATCCATGATCAAGCCTTTCGAGTTTAACTATATTCAATCATTACGAAACAATGAAATTTGTATGGAAATATATACACAGGTACTTCAGTAATTGTACCATTGACAAAAGATATTTAAATATTTTTCAAAAAGTTATAAATTTATTATTTACCAGTGAAGATTTTTCTTCTATTTCGACATGAACAGGACTCAAAAGAGTTGAAATATGAAAATCTATAAAAAAGAAAAGAAATCTATATTAAAACTTTCGAAGTTTTTTTTAATTTGAACCTGTTTCTTCTTTGGTTGGACTTGATGCTCTTGGTGATTTTGGTTCTGGTAATAACTATAAATAAATACACATAATCATTAAGAAATAAGCACTAATATGAGGATTTACTTGTAACTCGTCACAATGTCGAGACAATTTTTTACATTCTTCAATTAATTGTTCAATTAATTTTTTATTTTCTTCTTTAGTTTCATTTATCATTTTTTGAGGATAGAAGAAAAATGATTTATTATGTGTATTTTTAAATAAATCATTCATTTCCCTGAAAAAAAAATCAATATCTTGTTTTATATTTTCTATTTGAATTTATATTTCGTACTTAGTCTTTATATTTGTTTTAGCTGTTTGAAAATATTGAATAGCATATTGTTCATATAATAATGCAGAATGATTAGAATGTTGTCCATATTCAGTCTGAGCCTTAACATGAAATGTTATTAGTAATAAGACAAAAAAAAAAAACAAATAAGTTTTTACTGTCTTAAAAAGTATTTTAGCAGTTTCAAGTAGAATAATTTTTGGTGGATATTGATTGAATCTTTCATCATCTAGACGAATAGTTGCAAGATGATCGATAAAATCTGAACATGAACTAAAATTTAAAATTCAAATAAATTATTATATTTATAAAATTTATTTTACGTTTGTTCAATCGCTGTTTGCCACCAATTTTTTTGATTTTGTGTACATAAATGAGATATAGAATATAGTAAATATGGATGTAATGTTGAATCTTCACCATATAAATGTACATTTTGTTGTGCACATAAAAGAAGAAAAACCTAATTGAGAAGGAAAAATTAATTTTTCAAAAAAGACAAAAATTTTTGTTTTTTTCTATTTTACAATAACATCTCGTTCATTTAATGATTCTATTGTAATCGGTTTTTGTTCAAAATCAATAGGTGCAATAGAAAAATGTTCACGTGTTATACAACGATTCAAAACTAGAAGAAATAGAAAAAAACAAAATAAATTATTAAATAATCATTAAACGAATATTTATTTTACCTCCAAGTGATACTCGATCAGATTCAATCATACAACACAATGTCCATATACAACAAATTAATTTTCGAGTATTATTTTTATTCACTAAAAATATAGAATCTAGAAGAAGTTTTATCCAACAGAAAAACAAATTTCAAATGGAAATTTTATCTCGAGGAAATGATTACCGTTGTTCAACAATTGTCAGTTATTGTCAATGAATAAAATTATTCCTTCTTTCATTATGTTTCATTAATACTTCAAATTATACTCACAATGGAAATCCTCCAACTGATAAATCACTTTTGAGTCGAAACTACATGCATTATGTTGACTCAAATAAACTATGAATATACTGAAAAGAATTCTTGTACTTAGCTTATTGCTGTGAAGATACTGCATTTTTATGGTATTTTTTAAATGAGTACCACAGTAACAGAAAAACTAATTTTCGAATTTGGACTCGAAATTTTGCATAGAGACAGGCTTTAACAAAAGTAGTTTCAGGTCTTTTAATTTGCTTCTATCCTGAAATAAGAAAATAAAATCTGCCGATTTATATGAGCGATATAAAAGACACACTACTACCATAGTTGTATCCAGTGATGGCTTCACCAAGGGAGTAACACACTCTTCAATTATGAAAAATTATTATTTTTTCTCAACGGAACGGAAATTCTCTTTTTGAATTCTCTTAGAAGAAAGCTATTCTCTCTTTGCAAAAAAAACCGCGACACTCCCTCTAATGTTGGTTGCTTCGGACCACGGCTAGTTAAATCTTAAAATCGGAAATTTAACCGAATACATGTGTAGTTTCGTTTATTCAGCGCTAACATGTAAGAAGATAATCATCTGAATCGTACTATAAGACTATAGATCCATAGGTCCTCTATCTAACGTACTTCCATCGAAACGAAACACACCATTTTCATATGTTTTTTTGAATGTTTTTGAGAAAATGATGGATTTTAAAATAAACAGATGTCTGGAGTTCTTCTCTTTCGATTGCTGAAAGTCACAGATCGCTATCTATTACCGTTATCGATTTATTGAGCTTACAATCAGCCCTCTTTAATCCTGACACAAACTTTAGAAGTTATCTATTCCATTATTCCATGGGAATCGGTTCGACTTGTGATAAAAGTCCATATAAAAAACGTTTCAATTACATTCAAAAATTATTCTTGCCTCCTACGGTTCATAGTTCTTGTAATATCTAAATAATTCTTAATTTTAAAAGTTTATGAATTATTTTTTTTTCACTAAAGAGATTTTTTGTTTCTATAGAAAATCTTTACCGTCAAATCTGAGAGCAACTATTGTGAGTAAAACGATTAACTATATAAAAATAAATTTTATCTTATTTCTTACATTGATTTAATGTATTAACAAGTCCCATATGCATAAGATCACTATGTTTTTCAATAGTTTTTTCATTAAATTTTGGAAAACGTCGAATAAATACAAAACCACTTGTTGTTGTTTCATTATCAGGAAAATCATTTTCATTATTAGTACTATTCAGTAAACAATTATCAATAAATCCATTAATTTTATCTCTTAATGATACAGATGGAAATAAATGATCAATCATAGTTTGAATCTAAAAAATTTTTGTAAAATAGAAAAATTTTAAATTAAAATCAATATTCATTTACATATTGTTCATGATTAGATTGTATATCATTAAATTGTACTTTTGATAAAGTTGATAACCATTGTCCTAAAACAATAAAAACAAAAAATTTCTAATGAAAATATATAATAATTATTTTTTTTTTTTACCAATAATAAATATTCGTTTTAAATATCGAAGACGCATTGAATGAATACAAGATGAATATTGATTTTTGATTAATAGAGTTTCATAGGATTTACTTTGTTCTAATAATAATAAACATATTGTTGCACAGGACATTTTAGCTTCATTTATTGAACGACGTCTCTAGAAAAATTTGAAATAAAAAATGAGAAATAAATGATAAAATACATACAATTGTATGTAGTTTAATAATTGCAATCGATGCATACATTAATAATTGACATTTTGCTTCAATTAGATATGGATCAATATCAGTACTAGACGTTGTATTAAACAAAAAATCAGATAAACTAAAGACAAAGTTAAATGCGTATATTTGTTTATTGATAAGAAAAAGTCTTCTGTACTCATTTAAAGCATCAGCTGTAGTATCCCAATAAGTTTCATATAAACTACTTTCCAATCGTCGAAAACCAACATCAATAGCATAATAAAATATTGTTGTCATCGGTAAATTAGATGTCTAATTAAGAAAAAAAAATTTAATTATTAATTTTTTGTTTACTATTAAAAATATACAAGTAATGTTTGAAAAGCATTTATATTCCAATCAATATCATCGGAATTGTTTTGTTCATCAATTTCATTTAATAACGGAAAATTTTTCATAATTGTTGTCATCTAAAATCATAGATAAAAAGTAACAAAACGCCTGTAATATATATCACGTGTAGTCAAAACCAGCTGCGAGCGGTGAATTGATCGAACGACAAAACATGTCGCTACTTGAAAATTCATTTTTTATTAGTCAATAGATACAGCCAATCAAATTTATCAATAATTTAGTCGATAAAAATACTTACGAAATATTTAATAATCCATTTTCAATAATATTTTATTGGAAATAACATAAATTTTTATCTTTAGATCATAAAATGGATGATGAAAGTTTAATATATAACTTATGGCGTATGCGAAGAACAGTTTTACAAGTAAAAAAAACTAACAAATAAATTTATTTTTCAATAAGATTTGATTAATTTCTTCATTTGAAAGATGTGCCATGATCGTGGTTATCTTGTAAGTCAAGATGAACTTGATCAAACATTGGAACAATTTAAAGATACGTATGGTGATAAGCCAAGGTGAATTTAATTTTATGTTTTTTCTAATAAGAATGTATATTTATTTGTTTTATTGAATTTATTTTTCCTAGTGAAAATAAACCAGCTCGATCACATTTAAATGTTTTAGTTGCACATAATGATGATCCAACAAATACATTAGTTGCAAGATTTGCTGATCAAGAAAAAATTGGTGTTAAAGATATAAAAGAATATTGTAAAAAAATGGAAGATGAACATATAACAAGTACAATACTTATTGTTCAAAAAGGTTTAACACCAATGGCTCGTGATGTAAAATTCTTTATTAAAATTTTCATTTTTAGATTAGAAAAAAAGAAATTTTTTTTTCTTAATTTTAGGTTATTGTTAATGAATTAGAAAATAAAAAAGTTCAATTTCAAGTTTTTCTTGAAAGTGAATTATTAGTTAATATTACAGAACATAATGTAAGAATTTGACAAAGATTTTCTTTTTTGGTATTCGTTTAGCAGATGCTCCATAGTAAATATGTGGAAACTTTAAAATTGATGTTCTATCTTCTGATATTATAGAAGTTGTTTCGATGTTTTATCCAAATTTTCTATTCCGAAGAGACGATTTAAAAGTCTAGAAGAGCGAATCTGATCTTCAGAAGGACATCACTTCTTCCACACTAAATAAAACATAATAGCAGAAGGTGGAGCGTTTGTTTTTATAATAGGGAACACCTGCTAAATGAACATCGATTTTGTTTTATTGAAAGTAAACTTGTTTAGCTTGTTCCACAACATATTATCTTAACACCAGAAGAAAAACAAGAATTATTACAAAGATAGTAAGAAGAAAAATTTGTGTTTTTTTTTCTCTCTCACTTAAATATTATTATTAAAGTCGACTTAAAGAAAGTCAATTACCACGTATTCAATCCGGTGATCCAGTTGCTCGTTATTTTGGTTTAAGTCGTGGTCAAGTAAGTTAAAATTTATATATAGAAATTAATTTTTTTATTTGTTTGACATTAAAGGTAGTACGTATTACTCGAACATCAGAAACTGCCGGTCGTTATATAACTTATCGTTTGGTCACTTAAAATCAAATGAAATATTTTAATCACTCAAAATATTTTTATTTTATTTTTTTTGTTTTATAACTTTTGTTTTTTGTTTAATAATTTAATAATTCTGAATTTATTCAATGTGAAAAAAAAAACTGAGAAACAAGACAATAATTGTGATTAAATAATTGATATATTAAACAGTATATTTAACTTAATCAAAAATTTATATTAATCCTTAATCTAGAATTAGAATTTATTTTTACATATGTAGAACGATTTTTCAATTGCAAAATTTTTAAAGACATTATATTTTAAATTTGGTTATAAGCTTTTAGATATTTATTCTTATGAAAAATCGATTAGAACAATTACCAAATGAGCTTTTATGGCTTATTTTAGAATATATATCACCAATAGATTTATTTCATAAATTTTTTAATCTTAATCAACGTTTTAATACAATTCTTCGTTTAATACATTATCGCTTTAATCTTTTATATACAAATCAAAATCAATTTAATTTTTTTCTTAATATTATTCTTCCAAATATTGAATATAATTGGATAGAATCATTATATATTGATGATATAACTAATCGTCTTTATATAATTAATAAATGTCAATATTTACGATCATTAACAATTCATCATTTACATACAGAAAATATTAATTTATTAGTTAATAATGTATTATTAGAATTAAAACAATTAAATTATTTACATTTATATACAGAATTTCGATTAAGAGATCATGATGTTAATTCATTAACTAATATTATTTTTAGTCAACAAATGCCTTCATTAACATATTGTTATTTAGGTTTTCAAGATTATAGTCGTATGAGTTTTGATCATTTAGATATAACAAATAAAACATTATCTTTAAAAACATTAGTTATTGATCAATGGTGTCGTTTAAGAGATTTTATTCGATTACTTCATTTTATACCTAATATTAAACGTTTAACTGTTCGTTTATTTGATTCAAATACAAAAGGGTAAAGTTAAAATTAATGTTACATAAAATAAATTTTTCTTTCTTTTTTTTTTCTCTATAAGAAATCTTTAAACTGTTACTTGTTTTATATTTATGAAGAATCATAATTTATTTATTTCTTGAATTTCGAACATAATTTTTTTGTTACCTATCTGGAATAACTTCTGTACTATAGATTAGAAAATATATTATCAATTTTATCTCGAAATTTTTGTCGACGAGAGATCGCTTTGTTGAATTAATACGAATCTACAAAAATTGGTCGATAAATTTATAGTAATAGAAAAAACGATCCAAGACACTATTAGTAAACTAACAATCACGTCAAAGAAGCACATGTTTCTCTTATATACGCAAGATATGAGCAAAATCATTCGTTAGCGATATGATTTCACAAAATAAAAACACATATATCTCGGGATAGTAAGATCTTTGATCATGAAAGTTATCAGTAAAGACCTAGCGTTAGGAATGTGGTAAAGTACCAAAAAATGCTTTTATAATCGAATGAAAAGTTCAAAAATAATTCCAAACGGTACGAATCTTTCTTTAGAATCTACTGTTGATGGTAAAACAAACATTTTTGATTCTGAACTTGATAAGGTCTCTAGAAATTGGCTTTTAAGAGAAATTTTTTCGGAGTCTGATCTTACTGATAATTTTATCACAGATGCGGTTCATGTCGTAGAGTCTATTCTGAAGTCTTCGGATTGTTTCTCCTCATGATTAGAGAGATTACTCGCTAAAATTAATTTTTAGTTACTAGTCAGCTGAAAGAGTCAACATTCAAAGGACACCAAAATTATTCAATAAAGTTTGTTTTCAACTTCTTTTTTACTGTCATAAGTGTTACAAAGAAGCCAAATAGTGATTCGAATAGAGAAAATGGTTTCTAACCAAAATATAAGGAATAGATAATTATTATCAAAGTTCTAAAGATTGGGGTCTCAGAAAACGAAAACATCCTAGTTTTTCTATGCCTAGAATAGTGAAATCTAATTTTGGTTAGATTATATAGAACGATAGGACAAACAATTCTCTACAAAATGAGATGTCTTCGAGCTCTCTGCAATATTTTTTAGCTGAGATACTGTGACCTTACGAAAGTCCTTAACGTCGTTTTTCTACTATATCCTATAGGAAAGCCTTTTCTTTGACCTTCAATCAAAATGCTGCATCTTAGCAAAAACAATCATCGAAGACAACTCAACGATGTCTTATTTTGTAGAAGATGGTTTACTATATCGTTCTATATATTCTAAACAACATTATATTTATCCGTTCTAGCTACTGAAAAATTAGCTTTTTTGCTTTCTGAAATATCTATCTTTGGAATCTAATAATAATTTTTATTTGTTAATGTTCCTGTTGGAAATGATTTTCTCTATTTGAACTCTTTCTAACGCTTACACCAGCGAAAAAACTTGAAAATAAACCTTATTGAATAATTTTGATATCCACTATATGTATGTCTATACTAAAAGAATATATCAAGAAAAAAGACTCCTGTAAAGAATCAAAATCAAATGTAAGATGAGTATGTCTCATTTTGTCTGAAATGATTCATATGAACTTAAATTCACAGATTTTTATGAAATTATTTAAAAATTAATTCTGATGGAAGAGTTAAGTCAAGACAAAAAAAAAATCATTCATTAAATTGTGCATTGAAACCTAATATCTTAAGTAAATACAAAAGTTCATTATTCGGTACTAAAGTTTGCTTGAAATAGTAATGAATAAACTTTTTTTTGTGAGATATTGTTTATTTAAACCGTTACTTTCCCACTAAAACAAACTTTTATTAACTTTAATAGCAGGAATTTCTTCAAGAGTACTACAAACTTGAATTCTTTATTCGCCAAAGTAAAAGAACTGAAGTAATAATAAAAATTTTCTTCTGTTTTTTTCCTTCTCTCTCTTAAAAGTTGTTCTGTCTAAGAAAGTAGTAGACATTCATTTTTGTTTTACATAATGCTAGTCAAAAAGATTGAAAGAATTACTCATAATTTTGTATTCAGTTAAAAGATTTTGTTTTATTACTATAAGTTTCTCGAGTAATATTTGTATTGACTAAATTTCACTTTCTCTATAGTCAGTATTCTATTTAGGGTAAGCGTCGAGAGGAAGACGCTCCTCATGAAGTTTTAAGCCGTCCTTTTAGAAGAGGAAATCTGAATAAAATATTGACTTTAGTGAAATATTAAATAAATATTTTCTCATTCTTCTAGAACAATTGTTCCATCTCTTAATGCTATTGATGATTTTACTACTCTTGTACCTCATTTAATTTTTCTTCGAGCTAAACTTGCTGAAATTCCATTTATAATTGCTACAAAAATATTATTTCTTCGTTTACCATCTAAACTTCATGAATTATCACTTTCAACATGGTCAATTGAATATGGAAATGGTGATTTATGGGAAACAATTCTTTCATCAAAATTTCCTTATTTAAAACATTTTCGTTTAATTATATCTCTTGATCAAATTCCTCATACTTATATTACTGCAAATAATTTAGATCTTGATAATATTGTTAAATCATTTAATCAATCAAAATATTTTCTTGATCATCATTGGAATGTTTTAATTAATATAAATGAACATGATCGTCTTAAATTTGTTTTACATACAATACCATATCCAATAGAAAATTTTCAAACAACACTTTATAATATTCGTCGTTGTACAATATCACCATTAATAATTAAATCAACTTATCATTATGTTAGTAAATTAAGTTTAACATTACATAATAATCTTACTTCATTATTATATGATTATAATGAATATCGATATTTTCCAAATATTGAACAATTTATTTTATATTCAAATTTAATAAATAATTCTAGACAATTTCAATCAATAGAATATTTTAATAATTTAAAAACTATGATTAATCTATCAAATATAATATTATTAAATTGTCCAGAAGAAACTCGACAATATCCAATAGAATTAATTAATTTACTTTTAAAAAATTTACCTAAACTTAAAACTTTAATTGTATCTTATCGATTATATACATATTTACAAACACAATCGATATATTATTTAAAAAATTTAACATTAATCTTTGCTATTTATTCATCAATATCTCCACCAACGACAAGAATGAGATATTTATTAACACCAAATCAAATATTAACAAATGAATTGATATTAGAACTTGTTCGAACATCATTTTCAGTATTTTCTGAATTACAAACATTAACATTGATTGTAAGAGATTTAGATGGTTTTGATAATCAATTTTCTGAATGGTTGAAAACTAATTTTCCCATTGAACAAAATATTTTATATGATTTCCTAATATTTGATAAAATAGTTCGATTTTATTTTTAGATTAAAAAAAAAAAAGAACAGATTTATATAATAATGTTTTCCAATCAAACAAGTATAACAAAATTTGATATACTTCCAAATGAAATATTACTTGAAATATTTGAATATTTACCAACTGTAAATATTTTTGAAATATTTTTTTATCTTAATCCACGATATAATCGATTACTTCTTTCTATTCGTCTTCGTATTGATTTATTAAATATATCTAAACAAGTTTTTGATTTTTATAATTATTCTTTATTTCCTATTGCATCTCAATGTATTATTTCATTACGTTGTGAAGATGTATTTGATCGTTTAATTCATCATATACATTTATCAAATTTTATTTCACTTGAATATTTAACAATAACAAATATAAAAAAATCTACATTACAATATATAATACCATATTTAAATAAATTTACAAATCTTATCTATTTAAATTTACAAATATCAACTGGATTAATTAATAATGAACTTTATTTTGAAGAATCAATGCCATCAATTGAAAAATGTATTCTTAATTTTAATAAACGAATTATAATTGAAGGTAATCAATGTTATTCAAATTTAAAATATTTAACAATAAATCAATATCATATTAATGATTTATTATCTTTTCTTCATATTTATACACCTCAACTTCGTCATTTAACAATTACATTGAATGATGAATATAATTCAAAACAATTATTACCAAAAATAGAAAATAAACATTCTCTTGAATCACTTATTATCAAAGAATGTCATATACCATTTAGTAGAATAGAACAATTAATCTTAATTTCATTACCATATTTAAAACGATTACATATCAATGCAATAGGTATCGATTATGCTGATGGTAAGTAAATATTATTGAATAATTTATTTATTTTTGTTTTTTTGATTAAATTTTTTTATTATAGGTCGACAATGGCAAAGAGTTTTATCAACATATTTTCCTTGTTTAATAAAATTTAAACTCTATATAACATTCCCTGAAGAAGATGCATCAACACCCATTCTTCGTACTCAATTACTTAAAACATTTGAAACAATATATTTTTTATCACATAATTGGTATTTTGCATTTTTACATCATCCATCATCATCAAATATTGATTTATTTTCATTACCATTATTTAATAATAAAATTCATGCTAATCTTTATGATACATATATTGAAAAAACTATTAATGATATTAATATATTTGAAAATATAAATGAACTTTCATTATTTTTAACAAATTCTAATGAATATTTAAAATTATCAAAATCATGTTTTTCTAATGTTAAAAATTTAAAACTTATTTCAAGATTTCATTTTAATGAAAGACAACCACGAACGTTATTTGTTGATATATCTAATTTGATTATATTTTCAAAATTAGAATCAATTGAATTTATTGGAAATTATTTTCCATCAACAAGTTTTATTTTACTTGATTATACAACAAAACTTCAATCACTTTCAATTTCATTTTTAAATTTAATTCAAATGACAAAAACATTAACTGATCAACATATTTGTCAACAATTAACAAAATTAATTAAACATTTAAAAATAACGTAAATAAAATCATTTTCTACTTTAAAAATTTCGATAGTTTAATGACATGAGATGTGTATTTGAATACATCATAGGGAAAAAAAATCGAACAGTTAACGTTGAAAATACAGTTAGCCGAGTTTCAATCTATCGACCTCAGATCAAATAAGCACGGTCATTTTTGGATGGTTTTTTCGCCGCTTAGTAGGCGCCATATGACGACTGTTGTCAATTATGATTAGAGATGAGCGAGACAAGTCTCTTTGGAGCTCTATTTTCTGATTGATTGAAGTATATGATTATCCTACATTCTAACAAAGCTTATTTGATCAATTTATTATGAATTGAGATACACGAGTCTATCAAGTTTCGTTAGTTCCGTCGTTGTCATGATTAAGGATGAATCCATGTGTATTCAGTCACTTTTCTAGAAACAGTTTTTCTTTTAGTATAATAGTTACATGGGAAGTGATCAGAAAACAGCTTTGACCGAAAAATTTTATCGACTTTCTCCTGAAATGGTTGAGATTTAGAGCATTTTCTAGGGAAATCTAATGAAATTTTTATCAATAGTTTCAAGCTTTTGAGATTATATTTTATTCGTAAGTAGAGAACATCTAAACTAGTACAACCTCAAAAGAACTCTTTCTTTTTCTATTGAAATATGAATCTTTCAAAGCACAGTATTTTTATAAAATTATAAAAACATGAAACATCCCAGTGTTTCGCATCATTCAAATCTTAATAGAAAAAAGATCCTTTAGAAGTTGCACTAGCTTACATGCCCTCTAATTATTAGCGGAATGAGTTCAAAAGCTTGAAATTATTGATAAAGCCTTCATTAGACGTTCCTAGAAAACGCTTCGAATCTCAAGCAAAAGTCGGCGAACCTTTTCAGGCAGAACTGTTTTCTAATCATCTTCCATCTACTTCGCACGACAACAGCCGATAAAAAAAACTTATGATCCATTCTTGGTTTAAGAGCATATCTTTTTTTTTTCGTATTCAAGGTAGAGTCCTGCAACCCGACCGGGTACTCGAAACCGAACCGAACCGGAGCATGGGTTCGGGTAAAATTTCTTGGATCGGTTCGGGCGTCGGGTTAAATAAAAAATTTCGGTTCGGGTCCAAGTGTGAGCCCAAACCCGGATCCGAATCGACAATTAGTAACATCCTAACTTTTCAAAATATTTTTACTATTTCAAACTGGTATTTATTGTTATAGAGATATTGGGATAAGAATTAAAGCCGATTGAATCATCATTTTTACCAAAGAGTGAATCATAGAAATGAGAAAAAGGTTTTGTTCTGTTGTTTTTCAAGAATCAAGATACCCAAAATTATGTTTTAACTGGTTTTGATTTTAGTTATTATCAATATGAATACTCCTAAAAAAGAAAACGTTAGAAAAATATTGAATAGCGTATGTTTAACACATGTTCTAAACCCGCATTAGCCACAGCACAGAGATGGAACACTTTTGTTCGGATAAAAGATGATAAAGAAAATATCATGCCATTTGTACAACGTATTGAGTGTTTGTCAATTTTTGCTTATGAATCATCTAAAACTGGTTTAAGTACTTATAAAGCATATGCAAAAAGTTGTCTTGGTGGTGGTTCTCCTAGTTCAAGCTAAAACCAAAACATCCTCATAATGATGAACAGAGATAATAATAGTAATATATTAGCTGGTGTAAAGAGTATATTTACTGAACCATGTGCTAAATTTTGTGCTTATGATTTACGCCCGTACAAATTGAGTTCTGAATCACTTGATTCACTTGCTTTTACGTAATTTCAGATGAGTGTTTTTGTTGTTTATTTATTAAAGTAGATTGTATATTTTCTACATGAAATAAAGTTTGAAATTAGTTGTATGTGAAAATGGTAGCCGGATGTGTTATACTTATAAACGGCTGCCGGGCGGGTACCGAGTAGTGCTATTCGGGTCCGGTTCGAATCCGGATATGGAGTTGCCGGGTCGGTTCGGACTTGGGTACGGAAAAAAAGTTCCGGTCCGGTTTCGGATGGAAAAAAATGCACCCATGCAGCACTCTAATTCAAGGCTAGAACACTCAGTCACATTATTTTGATACTTTGGCACAAATCCATTTTACAATGTCGAGATTGTATTCCTAAAGAATATTTCTAGAAAATCAATAAAATGTAACAATACATTTCGCATGTCATTTTAAAGAAGAACATTTTGAATATTTAGTTCGTATTTATTATTTAGATCAATTAATGATGTAAGTAATTTCGCTATGTTTGAACGTTTACCATTAGTTTTTTGTCATCTTGAATCATTATCATTATCTCTTATAAATCCAAAAGATTTATATACATTAATAGTACTTATTCTTCAAAAAATGGCACCAATATTAAAAACACTGAATTTATCTATTGAAGGACATATTCATGAAGTTATTATTTTAAAGGAATTTATGTCATGGCTTATTAGTTATTTATATTCACATGATCTTGAAAAAGTTGATGTTAAACAAACTGATGATCAAATTTACTTTTGTTTTTAAAGAAAAAGAGACATACAAAATTTTTCTTTTGTTTTTTGGTTTTGAATTTAAATAAATAAATAAATAAATAATATTTTCTTTCAGATGTCATTTGAAATAAGTTTTCCAGATGAAATAATTCTTGAAATATGTCGTTATTTACATCCAATTGATATTCTTTTATCATTTGGTGGTCTTAATTATCGATTAAATCAAACAATAAGTGATTTTATTCATCATGTTCATTTATCATCCATAATTTCCTATAAAAATTATCTTTATTTACTTCGTATTATTCTTCCAACAATATGGCCATCAATAGAATCATTAAAAATTAGTAATTGTCAAGTATCATGTTTAACAAAATTATTTTTAGATAATACAGATAAAATTTTACCACCAAATTTAAAAAAATTAAGTTTATTTCATTTAAATATAAATGAAATTTATACTTTTATTAATCATTTAATGAATAAATCAATAATTGAAGAATTAATTATTGAATGTGAAGATTTAGATTTTGTTAAACAACAAGAATTATATGGTTTTAAAATAGCACAGATGCTTTTTTTTAATCATCCAACATTAAAATCAATTGAATTATCTGGAAAAATTATATTTGATTTAAGTCATTTATCATTTTTATCATTATCAAATAGTAATGATTCAGATGTAAGTTTTTAATACTATGTCATATTTATAAGATGTAATTAACCTTTGGTGCGATCCTTTTTAATTTTTTTATGAATACCTTGCCATAAGATAAAAAACCGATAAAACAGTCATAACTCCATAAGGAAGGTCTACGGGAAAAATTCTTTAAGGTTTTTCTGAGTTCTATTTATCATCACTGTGATTGGCGATTAACAGTTGTGTATCCCTTGTTAGAATAGCTTCAATTCTGTAGAAAATGAAATATTACAATAAGCGAAATTTCATCTATGCATTTTTACTAAAGAGATAATTTCTAATGGAAAATTAAAATCTGTCATGTAAGATAAAATAGAAAAGTAAATACTCTCTTTTAATCCTATCTTACCTGTAAAGCTCTAAAAGTAATAAATAGCAAAACAGTGTCACATTTGAGATATGCAGGATCAGATAAACCTGTACATCTCTATTCGATTGATAATATTGTCTTTTTCATTTTCCATCAAAGAAAAACATCTACTAAATGATACGATGAATGCTATTATAAATCATTTGTCTTAAGGATTATATCCATCTTGTCTAATAAGAAAAACCATCACATAATCTTTGAGTGATTTTATTTACTCTTGTTTTTTTTTTTACTTTAAATTATTTAGTCAATGAGTATTATGAATATTAGACATTCATATATGCTTCGTCGATTAACAATTCCTCTTCAATCTTTAAATAGTTTACATTTACTTCTTAAATATCAACCATATCTTGAATATTTAAATGTACACATTGGTGATGCTAAATCAATTTATGATCATACAATAATACCATTTCCATCATTATTAAATCTTTATGAATTTCATTTTCGTTCTGATGATTTATCAATTAAATTTGAAAATATATTTGAAATTTTAACATATTTTCCAAATTTAAAATCATTATCACTTAATTTAACAACTGAATGTGGATTATTTTTTGATGGAAATATTTTACAAACACTTGTTTATAAACTTGATTCATTTCAATTTTCTATAGCATGTTTTCTTCGACCAACATTTGAAAAACAAACATTATCAACATTTTATACACCATTTTGGTTAGAAATAAAAAAATGGTATACACAATGTTATTGGCATATTGATGAAGATAATATAGATTCTGATTATTTTCATATTTATTCAGTACCATTTCCGTTTTCAAATTTTGATATTTATAAATGTACAAATGAAAATTTATTATCAAAAGATAAAATAAAACCATTTACTAAAGTTAAACGATTAGATTTAAGTGAAACAAGTGATATTAATATAATACCATTTATAAAATGTTGTCCATATGTTCATACAATTTGTTTAAATGATATTTATGATGATGAAGAAAATTATGGAACTGATGAAGAAGAAGATATTACTGATCAAAATAATGAAAGTAAATATAATTATAGTTTACAGATAAAATAATCAATCATTGGAATCGAATTAATCAATATGAGGAAACATTCAAGTTATTTTTGATAGGATATGTAGATTTTGTTGGATAATCGAATGGTTCTTATGAAGATATAAATCTTTAAATGTTTTCTATTATGGAATCAAGACATAATGAACTGTTGATTTTTTTTAAAATTGTTGGCTACTACTGAAAAATAGAACTTTATCCACAGAACGGATAAACTCTTAATTACTCACATAATTGCATTTTAGATATATCGATGATATGTTCACCGAAAGAAAATTATTGAATAACGATCACTTCAGTATTTGCTTTTACAATTTTGATTGTAAAATGAATCATTTATTTCGTACACAACAGAATTGTCGAATACATAAACATACAGAAAAAACGAAGTATTACTCAATTAAGAAAAAGTAATAAATCTTCAAGATGAAAGCCATTAGAAGTTATGCAAGATGTCTCGAGCGCATTGATACTGCTAGAAAATGATATCGAATTTTTTGCTAGCACATGCATTACTAAGTGCAAAGCCAGAGTCAAAAATTTTTTCTGATCACGACCAAAAATGATTAATTCCGATCATCCTAATTAAATAATTAAGAATTAAAACGTATCATCATAATAAAATATAACTGAACGTTTAATTAAACTATTTCAACAAAAATTAATAAATAATTTCTTTAGATATTTCAATGAATGATATTCAATCAACTTATTCTTTTCAATCAACCTTACCTATATTATCTCATGTACGTTATTTAATATTACTTTCACTTCCTGAACATGATTTAGAATTTTTCGAACGTCTTGTATATGTAACACCAAATCTCAATCGTTTAAGTGTATTTTTTGATGATTTATTTGAAATAATTCATTTACCTCAACAAAATTTATGTCAAATACTTCAAAAAAATATATATCAACTTGAAATAAATCTTGATTATTCATGGTCATTAGATGATGTTCGTCGTGATATTCCAAAAATACTTCGAATTTTTTCAAATATTAAATCTTTAACAATATCACTTCATTCATCACAAAAACGTTCATTAATGATAGTTAAAGAAATTTTAATTCATTTATTTAAATATTCAACAAATCTTATTTATATTAATATTAATGGTGATTCATTAACAGGTTTTGAACAAATATTAATACAAGGTGGAATTGATTTTATAAAAACATGGTTAATTCTATCTGATAATGATCGATTTAAATGTGAAGATTATTTAAAAAATTCCATGTTTATTGAATTAAATTCTTCATTAATAGCTATCTGGTTATAATTGTTTTGTTTTTTGTTAATATACGTGTATTTCTCTTTTCATTCTTTTTTTTTTTGGTTTCTATCATTATTCTAGGAGAATTTTTTGTTAATGATTTTATTATTTATATAGTTTTTTAGATGGCTGAAAATCAGAAAATAAAAATAAAAAATTATTCAACACGTATTCCACAATGGAAAAAAATCGACAAAGAAATTCAACAACTTACACAACAATATAATCAAGTATATATTATAGATAATTTTAAAAGAAAATTTTTTTTTTTCTTCATTGAAAATTATTTATTTAGATTGATCCTGGATCTATTCAAACTTTTAATGATTTTCCATTAAGTCGAAAAACTCTTGATGGTTATAAATTTAATTTATTTAATCTTTTTAATTAATTTAAATATATTTTAGGTCTAGCAAAAGCTGGTTTCATACATCCAACTGACATTCAACGTGAAGCAATTGGAGTTGCATTACAAGGCCATGATATACTAGGAGCAGCAATGACTGGCTCAGGAAAAACTCTTGCATTTCTTATTCCAGTATGTCATTGTTTTGTTAAATACGATCTAAAAAGAATGTTGAAGCATCGAGCACAGTGTGCATTAATGTTTTGTAACTCGGTCGAGTATGAGATCATACCCGTTATTTTTTCAAATTGCTATTTATATAAGTGAAAATCATTTCGATCATGATTGAGCAATTTATTTTACTTGAAAACAGGTCATAGAAATGGAAAACGATATTGTTTTTACTAAAAGAATTCGTTTTTAATGAAAATTCATCTATAGATGACGAGGATCCACATGATGAAATAATTGAATAAATGAAGAAGAAAATGAATTATCAAAAAAGGCGAACATGTAAGATGTTTAACACCAAACATTATGTTCCATTCCAGTGTTATCACCATGACAGAATAAAACTGCCTGGTATGCACACCCAGCAGATATACTAAATCTACATATCGTCTAGTATCGATTATGGAAGACATCTTATGATATGAATGCATGATTTTGCAGAAAAAATAAGTTTTTTCTCAATTAATTTTCGACATGACTAAGCTCAGTATAACAAACATGCACCTTCTTAGCGTTAGTATGATATATTTGGAATAAACGCGCAAGACTACATCGGATAATGTATGATACAAAATATTTTCTAATCAGGAAGTTTTCTCGAAAACAAGATATGCAAGAATTCTCCTCAGATGTTTTTCGTCGAAAAATGCGTTATTTTCTTAAAAGTGATTTTCTGAGTGACATGGAATCACTGCTGAGCAAAAAAAAAGTCGTTTTCGAGAATGGAAATTATATGTCTGTCTACTATATGAAAAATGTACATCGTGTAGGACTAGAAATTTGCATCCCTACAGGCCATGATAGACGTTGATATATGATCATAGACTGTATATCAATAACGTCTCGTTATAATATATGAACTACTTGTTTATTAAATTTCTGGAGAGGATGATGAAGAAATATGTCTGCAAATAGATAGAATAAAAAAATCTACCTGTGATTAGCAACAGCAGCTATATCGTGTTATATATTTTAATCTCACAAGAATTGTGTCAACAGCTTTATCATATAATAAAAATTATTTTAAAAATTATATTATAGGTTCTTGAATGTCTCTATCGAGC